CTATATCTGACAGCAATCAAGGTACGGAAACGCAGGTAGTGGCAAAATCCAGTGGCGTGTATTATTGTTAGTCACAGTAATGGTCAAGGAGATCCGTCACTGAGTAAGAAATGGTCGATTAGCGAGGTAATGATTATCATCGACTGCTGCTTGTCGTACTTTTAAGCAAGTTACTCTGGAAGAAGTGCACTCAGATTTTTGATCTGGATGGAAGGATTCCAGGAAAGAATGAGTATTTGTTATCGAAAATGGCCTAATTAAATATCATAGTCTAACTCAACGCTCGACAAATCCTTTGCGGGATTACACCACAAAATTTGTTATATACGAGTATATATGATATACATTATCGCGATTGTCACGATAGTATTATATGCGATTATATTATTTTATTATATACAGTCGTATCTATCTATGGTATGTCGCACCCTGAAGACTGATCGAGCATGATTCGAGAGTTGGATACCTTGTATATAATAGATTTTATATCTAGTGTAATCGCGTAAAGAACTTGTCCATTTTTGAACTAAATTCTCGCCCCCTGTTCATTGTCTAACTTATGGATGCGAAACGGCATTTGAATTGAATCCATTTCCGCCTATGACCTGCAGTAGGCCCTTTGCACCGACAAACTCTGTAACCGTTAGAACCTGTCGGCTGATTCGAGCCAGTTGTCTTGTCTATATGTCCTTTAGCCTACCCCTATGATCGTTTACAAAGTCATTCCGAAAATATACACTCTACGAGGTGACACACTATAGACACATGCCTCTTAGATTATGCCAACCAATCTGAGAAATGGAGCATTTCTCATTCTCAAGAACTCAGGGTAAGTCGGCGGGGACGGAATTTCAAACGAAACTAGATTTTTCGAAGTCGCCACATTCTTCACGTGGTGACAGTCATCGTGCGTACTCTGCTTCCTTGAAGTATCGATTAGTTGCAGCTGCACAGACAAGCAAAGGGCAATTGACGCATCAAGGATATATCAGTGTTTGGGTGTACTACAGCGGTAAATGCCGGACGGCCAGGCGCGATGCAGCATCTATCGAGTTGTGTTTCTTATTTCAGTTCCATACCGTTCAGATTGTTGATCCTTCCATGCCGGTCAAGTTCCGGTCCAAGCGTGAACTTAAAACTGCGGAAGAACGTGCAGCTACTTAAAAATAGCAGTAGGCTTATAGCGATATATAACTTTTGAGAAAGCCATAACTGTGGCTCCATCCACATACATTTTGTGCGTGACAGTTTTGTGTTCTAGGCAACGTGAGCCATCGTGGAACGTACTTCGTCAACGATGTCACTCGCAACCTGGAGAAGAAAGTGAAGGACGGTGAAACAACCAAAAACACCGTGGCTCCAGTTCCTGTGGCCAATAAAGTGGTCAATGACAAGACACGTGACCAGAAGACATTGGATACCGCGAACGCGCTAAGGCCAAGCGCGACTGTAAATCCTACGGTACCTGCGACTATGGTTGCAAAGGCGGCATCACCCCGAGTCTCACTGTCCAGCAAGTTTCGCACGGAGCAGCAGCAGCGTGCCCAGACGAAGGTTTACGCTAGTATATGTTCGCTGAATATCGTCGTTTTCACATTCTGCTTTCATTATTTATATCCCCAGTGACTGTTACGTTGGCTGCAATTTTCCCTACGTTTAAGTCGCTTCAGACCTCAAACAGGAATGGCATTCTGTTATTATTCGTAACTCACTACCTCATCCGTTGTTGATGGTGCATGTGAGATCAGCATATGTAAATCACTTTTCAAGTAACTCTTTCCTCAGCAAAGTTCAGTTTTAAATTATTGTTTGTTTTCCTGTGCGGCAAAACGTTTGCAGCAGTTGCTGATAACGTCTGGCCTGCTATTTGCAACACGCTGTACATTGGAAATACTCAGAAGAATTCCTTGCATTTTTTCTGATGCCGCAATTAGCGGTGACTGGTATCAGTTAATCTCAGATATGTTCAGAATATCCATACTCTGCTTCATTTTCAGACAATTTTCAGGAATGATAGTGGTGATACCCATACAGCTAATTGCTAATAGACTTGCATCATCTTTATGGCCAGATTCTTCTATTCCTCACCTTTTCCAGTTTTGTCATTTGCAAGATTCAGTGCGATTGAACTAAGGAAGCAATTGCATTTGTCTAATGACCATTCTTTTGATTTAAAATTAGTAAGTTCGGATGTTCATGGTCGACAAAGGGGTCATGAATATCTGACCGGTTATTGTGTGCTGAGCGGCAATTTTTCAGTTATATTGTTTGCTGGATAGTATCAGTAATTCCTGGATGATAGCAAACCCCTATCCCTTGTTGCTGCGGCCCTAGAATACCGCTTATACCGTCGTTTAAAACAGCAAGCATCACGTCATTATCAGCAGCCATTTTCGATCCACTGTTCGGCACCTCCAGGACTTTGCCATAAACTTTATTTCCTGTAATTTCCATCCATCTTGATCTGACGAACTTCTCAGTTCATCCATCGTCGATTTGGAGGAATTCCTACAGATCCTTTACTCCTTCTTGAATGCCAGTCAAATGACTCAGTGCTTCTTCGATGGTCGGTCTTTATTCATCATGTCCTACCCTTTCCCGCTTGAATTTCTGCACTCGTGCAGTGACATAGCGACTCCGGTTTGCGCTCTTATCCATTCATTCGTCTTCCTGTCATCTGTTATTTCCAGCATATTTTTTTTGTGCTGTTGCGTAGTCTGCATTCAGTGAATGGTTTTCAGATTTAAGGTACATGTTTCGCACCCATGGGTTGGCACTGGGAGCGCACACTAGACCAAAACTTTCCGTTTTAAGCAAATGACAGTTTCTCAGATAGGAACATTTTCAGTTTTCCAAAAGTGCTCCATGCCATTTGGTGTCACATAGTTGACTTTCTGCTGCAGCAATGAGTTATCCCAAATGGTCGTCTTTTTCCACCTTAAGCCTAAGTCCATTAAGTCAACAGATAGTAGGGTCATCTGTTTATTAAACATGACCTGAGTTTTCTTCACGTTCGTTTTCAGTCCTGCTTTGATGCTGGCATTGTTCAGAGTTCGAATTCTTTTTTAAATGCTTCTGATGACATTCCGATGACACTGAGAGGATCAGACCATTGTCCGCGAATCGCAGGTGGCTTAAATAGTGCCCGTTTGTGTTCAACCCATGATTTTCCCGAAGAATGTCCTGAAAACTTCTTCTAGAACTACTGTTAATAATTTTGGTAACGTTACATGTCCCCCTCGGATGCCTTCTTGATTTTGAACTTGCTCCGCATTAGTAGTTGCATTCTTGTAAATCATGGTGATGAGGTGTCTATATTTGTTGTCAGTTCTCTGCCGTCTCAAAGAATGCGGCGCAGAACGGATGTATTCTGAATCGAAAGCTTTCTCGAAACCGATGAATCCCATACAGAGAGAAAGCTGATATTTGTTATTTGTCTGAATTACTTGTTGTACCACCTGTAGATGATCGATCGTTCTAAATCCGTTTCTGAATCCGGCTTTTTTCTTCAGTCATGAAGCGTCCAGTTTGTCAGTACCCTCATGAGCATTCTGTAGATGATTGGAAGCAAGCTGATCGGCCTGTAGTTTTCCAGAACCTTCGTTCTCCCTTTTGGTGAAGTAGAATCACCGATATGATAGTCCAGTCTTTTGGAATTTTCGGTTCCCCTCAGACGATGGGGAAGCAAATGCTCCAATATCTTGACCAATGCTTCACCGCCTGATTCCACGAGTTCTACTGTAGTGCCATCTTCGCCACGATCCCTTCCTTATTTCGTCTGCTTTATTGCATGTCGTCCTTCTTCTGAGATGAAGCTGATTTTGTCAGCTGCATTTGTATCTGGTATCTGTAAATCGACCAGCCACTCGCAAGGTTCTAAATCGTCTCTCACCTAATGTCAGAGAATCTACATTTCTAGGAACAGTCCATCTCAAGAGCATAGTTTTATGGCTGTTGTTAATGTCTTGGTCCTGGATAACCGGCACGTTCAATTGTTCAACCCTGGAAAAGAGTTCTCTTGTCGTCAGAGAGACAATTAGTTGGTTTAGTTCCGCACCTTGAGGCGTAGTTTTGCGTGGTAACGTCCTCAAGGAACGTTTTAACTCTGTTCCTCTAGTATAAGATGGTTGACCTGCTGCTGTGCGTTTTCTTCCACGGTTTGCTAAGTTAAGTTTGCCTCAGTAATCTTCTGTCCATTCACTAGATTGTTTCTTCGTACTCATACGGCCCGCTTGTTTTTTGATGCCTAGATGACGTTTTAAACCGGCCACATTACCTTACAATAGTCGCTTGAGTCCAACTGGAAAATATAATAATCCGTAGGCTTTTATGTGCACCAGCACTGACGAAGATGGTCTGAGGTGATTGCTAAAACTAACGGTTTTCCATGCTGTTATAGAGAACAACATCTTGTCCTTTCACAGGATTTCAATTCATGCTCAGCAATTTTTAGTTGCTGTACAAACGCGTATTTGTTTAAACCGACATTGAAAGATGGCATGGCTTTCACGCACTGCTGACACTCAAATACCACGAAGGGGTGGCGTACTAAAACGATGTCATGTGCATCTAGAAATAAAGGGATGGCGCGAATACACCGTGAAAATCCGGTGAAGGGACAAAATATTGTTCTACCGGTGGCATCGAAAATTGCTATTTTTAGCTGTCGCCCAGGATTATGGAGTCATTTGTGCTGCAGTATCAAGTTTTTGAAACATGTGCTCGACAATTTTAGGG